TATACATAAAAATAAAAAAAATTTTGGAATGAATTTGTATGAACCAGATTTAGAGTTAAAAAAATTTTTTTTAATTTTTACTTTATGTGTATGAGTGTACCACCTGTATGTAAGTGCACCCATGTCCTGCAATGCCCAGAGGTCAGAAGAGGGCAATAGGTCCCCTGTAGCTGGAGTTACACACAGCTGTTAGCTGACACATAGATGGATGCTAGGAATTGAACCCAGGTCCTCTACAAGAGCAACTAGTGCTCTTAACTACTGAGCAGTCTCTCCAGCCCTTCAAACTCGTTTTTAAAAAAGATTTAATATTTTTAATTATTGGGGGGATATACACATACCCACAGAGGCCAGGGATGTCAGAGCCCTTGGAGTTAAGAGTTCCAAGCAGTTGTGAACTCCTTGACATAGGTGCTTGGAACTCAACCCAGGTCCTCTGGAAAAGCAGCAAGGGTCATAACCACTGAGTCATCTCTCTAGACCCACATTTTTTTTTTTTTAAATACAGACCCTCATTTTTTAAAAATTAAATTCAAATGGGTAAAATCTTTCCAAATGAGCTGGTGTGGTGTTGCACACCTTTAATCCCAGCACTCAGGAGGCAGAGGCAGGTGGATCTCTGAGTTCAAGGCCAGCCTTGTCTACATAGTTCCAGGTCAGCTGGGGCTACAGGGAGACCCTGTCGCCGAAAGACCAAAAAAAAAAAATCTTCCCAAATGATATGTATATCAAGCTAAGTATTTAGCTAAACAGCTAATAAGTGTTTAAAAGCAGACAGTATCTCATAAACAATTCATCACCCATCACCCATACATTCAACATATCATGTATTTAATTATTCATACACATAAATTTAGAAATGGTTTACATACTGTACATAAATTAAAGAAAAAAGTTACAAATTATTTCAAATGTGATCTCATTTTTTCCTTAGAATTAAAAGCATCGACTACAGACGTGCACCACCACGCCTGGCTTACAGCTAAATTTTTTAAAAACTATGTGCATGTGTGTGATGTCTGTGTGTAGGTATGTGCATGTGGGTGTAAGTGCCTATGGAGGCCAAAGGCATTGGATCCCCCTAGAGCGGGAGTTACAGGCGGTTACAATCCACCTGACATGGGTACTAGGGAAGTAATCTTAGGTCTTCTAAAGAGCGGTATGTGCTCTTAGTGGCTGAGCCCTCTCTCCAGTGCCCTGATTTCTTAAAAGGAGAAAAATCTTTCCCTCTGAACTTTTTTGGGTGACAAAATAGGAGGAAATTCTTATACTCTATTCTTCACACTCTTCCTCTTACCCAGAGCCTCAAAGTTCAGCCTTTTTGTGTTATAAGAGGCTTGGTGCACAGAATATCTTCTGTGTGAATAAAATCCAGAATACTACTCTACACATAATGGATACTCAGCACTTAGAGAAGAAACAAATGAGATATAAGCCCTTTCTTGAAAGAGTTGGGTTCTACAGCTGAAACCTTGCACGTATTAAGAACATAACCTTCAGAGGCAGTCCCCTTGACTTAACTTCCCCAAGAGCTAGAATGTACAAGTATATGCCACCACAGGCAGCAAACTGTTTCCCCAGTCTCACTATGCAGCCCTGTACGGCCTTGAACATCTTATCCCCTTCTGCTTCTGTCTACTGACATGCGCCACACAGTTAATAACAGAACTTTTTAAAAATGTTCCTTAACTATACATGTGGGAAAAAATATGTATCATAAAGTCATTTAAATACATGATAGTAAGATGGTCAATGGACTTCAGGATTTCTTATATTAAAATACTTACCTCTTCAAAAACAGCAGCTTTATTTACTTTTTCCCTTGCAATGTCACAGATCTTCAAGATTCCCAGGGCAAAAGCTTTCATAGCAGGATCTTCTATGAAGTCTGGATTATGAATATAAAGGCACGTAGAAACTGTCTGTGCCAAGGAATGGCCTTCTAACCATGTTATCTATTTAAAAAACAAACAAACAAACAACAACAACAAAAAAAAAACCTACATTACTTTAGGTGATATACAGAGTTTGTAAAGTCTAAATTGACCCAGTAAGTGAAAGTGTCACAGACTCAGAAGGCAAGAATAGACTCATTTTCACTGAGTAAAAGTTTTTAAAAAACCCAATAAGGCTGAGTATTTCTTACAATAATTCAGTATTCAAAATGCTCTATAATCTGCAATTTTTTGAGTATGATACTAGTGCTAAAAAGTTTCAGATTTCAAATATGCTTGATCTGAACTACAAATAACTAGCAGCCTATAGGAAGTATTCTTAATCTATAATTTATTTACAATATACTTGGTGTCTAATGAAATCAGAGTGTCTACGCAGCATTCAGAAGCCATCAACTCCACAGTGTAACTGATTAAAAAGCCCACAGACAACAGAATTCACAGGTTCCTAACTGATCAGGTCTTTTGCTTCTCCTCGCACTCTTCTTACCATCACTGACAGAACCAAAAGAACCCTATCCCCTCAGACTGCTTTAAGAAATATACAACAGTTTTCTTGCCTCCCAGATCTGACTTGAAACCCCAAACAAGAAGCATCTTTCTACAAAAATAAAGTCAACACTATTTTGCTGCAAGCTAGAAGGCTGGGAATACCAACAAACAGTCAAAACTGAGTAACTGCTTCTGCACAATAATTATGCTAGGTATTTTCATATATTTCATCTCACTTTTTTTTAGTCCATTGAGAAAGGGGGTGTTTCCCATCTTTTACATGTAAGGAAGAAAAGTCAAAGAATTTAAATAAATTTTCCCAAGTCTATAGTAGTATTTTATCCTAAAGTCCAAGAACTATGCAGTGGGAGAAAACAAATGTTACTGGAATACACAATGAGACATGGATATGAAAAATGTTATAACTAAGGTGTGTTAATTATTGTGCAGAAGAGAACCTTTTAAAATTAAAAACCATGTATTATTAAAGCACAATCTTTTAAAGACAGTCTCAAACTCTCATTTAACTGCTCCTCAACTTTCTCAAAACTCTTCCCTCTGCTTACCTCTCCCTTCTTCTGCAATTAGTGACATGGTGCTCACACTTGGCTCCCTGCCAGTCCCAAGAAGCAGACATTTTTACACTACTGCCATGTCAGTGTAATTTTCCCTCTTTGACTACAACACTATGAAGCCTCTGATCATGTGCTGCCACTCTTCAGTATCTCATACCAGCATCACTTCCTTTCTACACTCTTTATTACTTCCCTACTCGGGTCACAATTACTCCCTCCTCTCTGAATCTAACCTTGTTAGAATTGTCTCTTTGCATATCTACCTTCGGCAAGCCTCCCTGGCACTTCCCTAATCCTTCAGGAAGACACAGTTAGAGGACAAAGAATCACAACTGGGATTCTGTCTGTGCCCCCTCTCAGTAATATAATAAAATGCAGGTACCCAGCATATGCCAAGACCCAGGTGAGAAATAATACATACAAAACAACTAATAGGCGTGTACTTCCAACATACTTGATAGTTGTTACATGTTTTTAAGGATGATGATTTAATGTTAATTTAAAAAGAAAGGATAGTCAGAAAGTGGGAGGTAGGGGGTACACATGCTGGATACCTGTCTACAGAAGACAGGTATCCAGCACAGAAAAAAAAAAAAATCACTAAAATATTTTTGCCAGAGACGATCGTAAAGTAGAAACAATGTCTCCAAAGCCAATCCATACCTCCCCTCTTTGCTTCAGTTGTGCTTATCTCATGGAACCTTTCAACTACAAATTTCTGAGGATAAGTTGAAAACAAAACAGGGCATTCTGCATAATGACTCTAATATTATCTCCAATGAAACAAAAATACCCATTTACCCAGAAATGAGATCCTAGTAACACCCAGATGGAAGAAGTAGTGCTGTGTCCTGTGGCATAATTTAGCTTGCTAATCTTCTATTTTATTGGCATTGCATATATTCCATATTCAATACTGGTGTACATACTTTCAAATTCAAGAACATGGTTTATTTAACCAACAGTCTTATTTTAATTCTTACCAAACAGCAAAAACAGGTATCCATTATCCCTATCAATTCAGGCAAGGTGAGATCTTTAATTTTAATGGTGCCATCCTAAAGGGGAGAAGGGTGACATAAACACAAAAGTTAAAAAAAAATATGGTTATTGCGTACAGTAAAACTTCAATTTTCAAAAATTAGATATCTATAAAAAAATTCAAAGAAATCACAATGATAAAATTAAGACACTAACTTAATTCTGCATTCTTAAGAACAAAAATTGCATTGCTTCGTTATGCTCTATTTTGTTCTGCTCCATTTGAAGCAGCATCGTATGTACCCCCAGGATGACCTCAACCTCCTGATCCTACTGCCTACACCTCTCCAGAGGTGATCTGCACCCCATGTCCAGCAAGACAAATGTGCTTTATCAAACTTTATTTTTAATTATTAATTGTAGAAACCATATCTTAAGTGTTGAATAACATATGTCTTAAATCTTGAGTAAGAAAAAAAAAAAAAACCAAAGCAGCAATGATCTTTATAATGAAAAGTCAAATTTTGCCAGGCACCATGTCTCAAGTCTGCAATCCCAACACTTGTGAGGTAAAGTCAGAAGGAAGAGGAGTTCAAGATCATCATTGGCTACACAGCAAGTTCAATATCAGCTTGGACGACATGAGACTGCTTCAAGGAAGGAAAAAGGACAGAGGAAGGAAATAGTCAAGTATTTCCAAAGCATAGTTCAAATTATACAACCCAGGTGGGGATTATAGGTATGTGCTACCTACTAGCTCAAAATTAGTTTTATTTTACTTTATTTTTTAGTTGAGTGTGGTGGCACATACCTTTTTAAGCTTTTTTTTTTTTTTTTTCCAAACATTGCCTTACTCTGTTTTGTAGTCTGGAACTCACAGCCATTCTCCTGCTTCAGCATCTCAAATATTTAGATTGCAGATGTGAGCCAGTATGTCTGGTTTCAAATTAGTTTTAAAAATTTGAAACCAGTAAATTGTAAAAATGAAAAACAAAACACTCAAGTACTCTCCTGAAATTAGTTTACTTATAAATTTTACTTATAAAATCTATTTGTTACATCAAAGGAGACAACCAAGGAAACAAACAGTAAACCCACAGAATGGGAGAAAATCTTCACCAGCGACACATCTGATAGAAGTTTAATTACCAGAATATATAACGAACTTAAAAAACAGAGAACCAAGACAAGAAGCAACCTAATTGAAAGATGGGCTCAGGAGCTAAACAGACAGTTTTCAAAACAAGAAGTAAAGATGGCTATGAAACATCTTAAAAATGTTCAGCATCACTAATTAATCAGGGAAATGCAAATTAAAACCACTTTAAGATTTCACCTTACCCCAGTCAGACTGGCTAAGATCAACAAAACAAATGATACCAAATGTTGAAGAGGATGTGGGGAAAGGGGAACACTCATCCACTGCTGGTGGGGCTGCAAACTGGTTCAACCCCTAT